TGGCTACATTAGAGGACATCTCAGCTAGATTGAAAGAATATAATTTATTCACCATCCTAGACTGTAAAAAAAGGTTCTCGCAGATAAAAGTTACGAAGAGAACATCCAAAAAACTAACTTTTTCAACACCTTGGGGGTGCTATTCTTGTTTACACATGCCCTTTGGTTTGGTATCGGTCTCTGAAGTGTTCCAGAATATTATGTCAGACTTGTTCAAAGGAATTAAGAATGTAGAGTGTCCAATGGATTATATACTCATTCACAGTAACAATGAAAAAAGATCACGAATGAAGCAATGACAAAGCTGAGTGAATCAGGACTTACACTAAACAAAGAAAAGTGTATATTTGCTAAACCGTTGGTGATATTTCTTGGTCACATAGTTTCAGACCAAGGGTTACAAGCTGATCCTGACAAAGTAGCAGCCATTTCAAGAATGAAGGAACCCACGTGTTTGTCTGAGCTTCAGAGATTTTTAGGTTGTATAACATACTTATCAAAGTTCATACCAGATGTTTCAATTGATACTCAACCTCTAAGAGCTCTCTATGAGAAAAATGTGGCCTGGTTCTGGGATACACCACAACGAGACGCATTTAACAAGTTAAAACAAACACTGCAAGGAATTCCCTTCCTTCGTTATTATGACTCCAACTCTCCTGTGACTCTCTCTGTGGATTCAAGCGGTTAGCCTATGTAGTAGCTGGTGTTACGTTACCAAAACATTGACTCAATCACAACATAACTACAATCAACTTGAAAAAGAGACATTCGTAGTTCTGACTGCTTGAAAAGGTTTCATGGGTATGTATGGAGATGCAAGGAGTTGATAATTGAATCAGATCATAAGCCTTTAGAGGTTATCTCTAAGAAACCGTTGTCTGACTATCTCAGAATCCAAAGAATATGTTTAAAAATGTTACCATATGAACCAAGAGTTGTGTACAAACGGGTTTGTGAGCTTCATCTGTCCGACACCTTGAGTATGCTACAATGACAATCAAGATGATGGACCTCACAGCTTAGATATTTAGTTGATTTATTCCTATGTCTTGTGATACAGTTTCTCGCATCAGAACTAGTGTTGGAAAATTCACAGAGCTTTCTAAATTGAAGGAAATAATTTTGAATGGATGGCCCGAAGAAAGAAGCACTGTTGACAAGGAATTGGTAAAATATTTTACTTTCAGAGAAGAACTAAGTTGCTATGATGGTCTTTTGTTTAGAGAAAGCCGTTTGATTATACCTGTTGAAATGAAACTTGAAGTGTTACAGAATATTCACCGTTCTCACAAATGTGTTCAAAGTTCAAATAATACAGCACGTAACTATGTATAGAGGGTGAGTTTAAATAAAGTCTTATTAAATGTTGTCCATTCCTGATTCAAATTATTGTCACGAAAACTATCACGGCCGTGATACACATACAGACACACAAACATACAGACATCACTTCGAAAACCACTTTTTGGGGTTTAGGGGGGCCCAAAATGGATATCCACTCAAAACTTAGGCTCCAAAATGTTGACGAAAACAATACTTTCTCCATATGCTATGTATAAGAAGAGAAAGTAAAAACGTACTACAAAGAAATGTTCAATGACACTGGGATAATTATAGCTTCCTTGTACTGATTTATAATATGACAAAATATGACGCTATCTTTAGTATAGAGATAATATTATATGTTTTAAAAGTTAAAAATATTTCAATAAAATTAAATAAAACGTATTAGAATTCTGTTTTGCCATTTCATTCTAGATTTATTTCCGTAGGTAATTAATTGCTAAGATAGTATTTGCCAGGGAGACAAATATTCATTGAGTTGCAATGTGTTTACTGTCAAGTAATGAAGGATTCCCATCATTTATTGAACTTAATTTTATGCTTCAATTTGCTCGTTAATTGGCTATCCTGAACGGTGGAATTTTCAATTGAACGCAAATAATTACTTTACATTTGACAAATTTGTGATGCGATTACGCAGACGACTGGAGTTATCGGATGATGTCAGTTTAATGGATTTTTGGCTCGTTTGCTTTTCATATTAAACCAATAATAATTAATGTTATACATATTTACAGTATGGGTTTATGAAGAAACTTTGCACGTACTATTTAACTATGCTATATGCATAGTTCTTATACGTTTCCTAATAGTACAGGTAAAATTATACTAAAAGACTAGTAGAAAATATAAAAATTAGTCGGTTCATGAAACTTGCAGCAAACGTAGTAATTACCATTAGATTTTTGAATCTGAAGAGTCCCTAGTGATTGTGGGGGTGGAAGTACCATTTTATGGGGGTTAAAGATTATGGGGGTAGTGATTTTGAGAACATTTTTATTTATGTGATTTAAGCGAGTGTGGTGTCGTTTTCTATGTTTCTTAGGATGCAGAATCGGAAAAAAACATAATAAAATCAATACAACAGACAGATCCTGCAACTAAGGGTGGTGATAATACCAAGAATTTAAAAACACCCGGACCAAAATTGTTTAGGACCTTGGTCGCCCGTAATGACGCCATCAATATGGCGCCCGTTAAAGGATGCTAGGCTGCTATGAGTTGGTTATAGTACCAAAATGCCTGGCACGGTTACAGACGGCCGGCAGTGGACCCAACCCTCTTTCCCTACTAGTACTACTCAGTTCAAATCCGACCATCCTTTTTGCGCTACCCAATACTTAGAGGTAATTTCTATGATAAGATAAGTTAGGATCTAATATAGTAGGATTAATTCCTATTGAATTCTTATTTTTGGGGAATTATTGTGTTTATGAAATGAATGTTGTGTCCTTGTTTTATTATGATTTGAAAATAACAAACGAAGAAAGAAAGAACAATTTTTCTCGTAAGTTTATACCTTTTTTACCTATAAGTATGAAATAATATACAAACTTGTTTTATTTGATCCCTTACAACAGTTATCAGTTTCTTATAACCGTTTCTGTCGACTTATACACTATTAGTTCTTTCGCATTACAGTAGGACTGGGTGATATGAAGACATGATTTCATCAATATACTTAAATTATCCTGTATTCCAATTTAATTCCACCCTTAAATGTGCATAACTTCAGTTTTACGTAGCTTTACCACTAAAAGTATAAACATTATTCATATCACCCCGTTTATAATGTTGGTTTACTTATAAAAAGTTTACGTAAGAGATCATACAGCTCAAGATTGAATATGTAAATGGGACTCGTGTAGCTTGATGTTATTGCATATATGTAGAGGTACATAAAGAATATTGCAAAACAGAGCCATATAAGCAGACGATACAAGGATAGAGTATAAGAGTTTTTTCTGCAGTCTACAGTACTGGCATTGAATTCTGAAAACGTCTATTTATTTTTGTTTTAAGTATATTGGTTTTTATTATTAACTAATTATTTTAATATATAGCCACACATTTAGAAACAAATCCCAAGTTAATTACACAGTACGTCAACAAGTTAACTAACTTCTCTTACAATACGCAGAAACTGTAAATGAAAAATTGCAGCTTCTGTATACATTTTACTTTCTCCCCCTATACCCTAGTATATTAAGAAAGTATTGTTTACGTCAAAATTTTCGAGTTTGAGTTTTGAGTGGATATGTCCGTTTTGGGTCCCCCTGGACCCTAAAAAGTGGTTTTCGAAATAATGTCTGCGTGTGTGTGTGTGTGTCTGGATGTGTACATAGCTAGGGACTACACCTGTGGTCCGATTTCAATGAAATGGTAGTATGAAGGTAATCCATAGTATATCTCCAGGAGATTTTTTTTCTTTTTTTTTAAATTGTGATTTTTAATGTTGATTTCCCTATAAAACATTTAGTATGTTGTAGCCCTGAACAAAATGGTACAAATCCCATTTCTTTAAAAATTACTGTTCAAAAGTTATGGTAAATTATATTATTTTCCCATAAAAACCCCATAAGTAACGAATAAAAATGATTAAAAACTGTTTGGATTTAACATAGCATATTATGGTCCTTAAAATGTTTAACTACTTCTCATTTTTTTCAATGTTGATTTTTAATGGGAATTTTCCCATAAAACCCCATAAAATAACGGAAAATTAGATTTTCTCGAAATTGGCCCAAACGATTTTGATACCAGTTCAGTATGTTATAGTCCTAAACATTCTGAACAAAATGGTACAAATCCCATTTCTGTAAAGATTACGGTTCAAAAGTTATGGTAAATTATATTTTTCCCCCAAAAAAACTTATAAATAACGAAAAATAGGATAAAATACCCCCGCCGCAGCAAACCTGCAGACTAAGCGAACTTCAACTTGTCTGATTACATAAGACATATTTATTCCAAATTTAAATAACAATAGATTTAACGAGTGCTTAGGTTTGCTGCTATGGGCCAGGTAAAAAGTGTTTTTTGACCATACGTCAATAGTATAGGATAAAATAAATAAATTTGCCAAATTTTATCAACATATATCCATAAACAAGTAAACTACAACTGTTTTCATTTTCTCCATAAGAATAATATGGGAATTTTAAATTAGAGTATTTTTGAATTTTCTCCGTGACCGTTAGGTATTCATCAGCGCTTCAATATACTAAGTTGTTTCATTTTTTAAGCTCTACAAAACGGTTTAATAAAAATTGCAACATGTTTTGTTTTTAGGGTTAAAAATGGGAAAAACCCATTTTTAACCCATAAAACCCCTCATAAACCCCCGTTCCCATGGTCCGATTATGCTGATTCGCGAACTCGTTCGAATAAACGTAGGTTTACACGTATAAATCCTCCTCAGGCCCAAAAACAAAATTTAAAATTTTTTTTATTTTTTTTTATGAAATTTGGTTTAAAAAAAATCAAATATCAGCTGTGATTTTTTTCAAAATTTTATTTTCACTCTAAATACAAAAAAAATGATGTGTCAAATTTGACACATTGGGACTAAGGCAATTGCCACAAAAAACATTATAAATGAAAATAATTAAAAATGTCCATTATAAAACATTGAAATGGTACAAAAAACTTATTTACAACTCATGAAACAACTTGAAACAGTTCCTGGCATTGGTTATACACAAATGAACTTTGCATGTTGTGCAAAAAAAACGAGCGTTGGTTGAACTGCAGCCTGGTACTCGACATCGATGCCGGGTGGTACTAGCAGACACAAGTTCAGGCATATGCCTTACTCCAGAGGTTCGTTGAAGGTCATGAGGCAATGGAGTCGGTTTTCTTCTCTTAGGAGGTGTTTCAGGAAGAAGTTCATTCCCATCGTCTTCGTCATCATCTCGAAAGACCTCGACTTGCCCTTGAAGAAGGCGATCGGCTAGATCTGTTTTGTAGGAAAGAAGATCTGTCCTATCTTTCTTTGGAGTGTTGTCTGCAACTTCAACTCTTCTGCGAGTTAGCCATCCTGCTGCTACTACAAAGTCAATCATATGAAATAGTAGCCTAACAGTCCATTTTTTGGTTCTAGCGGATGTCCGATAATACGATATCATCCTATCCAGCAAATCAACACCTCCCATCTTGTCATTGTAGAGTTTTACTACTAGAGGCCTATTCACATCAATATACCTGCGTTCTTTCTTACACCAACGCTTGCATTTATCAGTAGGCTCCACTCCATGAACTGTTGAGGTTAATATAACTGGCTTATTGTCTAACCACTTTACGATCGCTATCTGTCCATCGTTTCTGATTACCTGGTTCATATAGCCTCTGCCTCCTCCTCGCAATTTTGCATCACTATAGAGAGGAGTTCCTCTTGGAATCCTGTCAGCTACCATTGTACCTGTTCCTTGGAAACCAAGGGCGTGGAGCTCATCCAACAGGGGAATAGAATTGAAAAAACGATCCATAAAAATGGATACTCCTTGTGGTAAGTGTTTTGCCAATCGTACAATTACCTTCCCCCCTATGTCCAAATGAGGGTAGTTAGGTAAAATTGTGTCACCTTTACCTTCATACAGAAAAAAGTCCAGAGGCAAACCATCAGGGGCACAGGCAACAAAATTCTTTAGCCCACATGGGTTTGGTTTTCCCTTCACATGCTGCCTCATTTGAGTACTACCCCAAAATGGTACCATCTGCTCATCCATTGATACTTCAGAGGACCTAGGATTTTGGAGGCATGCAGCATTGATAGCACTGAGTAATGGTGCTAATTTCCAATACTTACTGGATTTTTTTTCCTCGTCGGAAACTGCAGAATAATCCCTGACACGAAGATTAGCCCGTATAAAAAAAAATTTGTTTCGCGGCATTGCATCTGATATACTAGAAATCTTAGTTTGTGCAGCCCAATACATCCTAATCCTTGGGAGTTTTAGGTATGACATTTTCATGGTCATCCCCAAAAAGATTTTGATATCTGAAACAGTCAGCAACATCTCAGTTCCTCTGGTTGCTAGTATGTTAGCTGAAGTTGCTGCCGCTATGCCTTCCAATACCTCATCCGGAATATACTTAGAAAAATTGTCGAGAGTACTTACGAGCTCGATGTTAGGTTCGGGTTCCTCGTGTCGTGGTGCAGCAGGAAGTGATTCGAAATTATTACTAATAGACCAAGCTTGGGCATCACACACAGTTTGGGCAGGTAACACAGGAGCAAGAGCATCACCGCTAGGTCCACCAACACAACGTCCACGACTAGAATTACTTGGCCTAGCCGCACGGCGTCCACGGGCAGGTGTAGTCCTAGCAGCACGGTGTCGACGGGCAGCTATAGGCCTAGCAGACTGATGTTCACGCACAACTGTAGGCATTACGAAGGTCGGGTCACAGTCTTCGTCATCTGACTGAGCGTAACTATCAGAAACGTCACGAAAAGAGGTATCATACGTAGGTGAATGCACTTCACGCACGACAACAGTAGTCTTACGTAGAGGACGCATGCGAACAGCATAACTAGGCCCTGGGGCAGTAAGTTCTGGCTGTGGTAGTGTAGCTCTTGTTCCGGCTGTGGTAGTAGCTCTTGTTCCGGCTGTGGTAGTAGCTCTTGTTCCGGCTGTGGCAGTGCCTCTTGTTCCGGCTGTGGTAGTAGCTCGTGTTCCGGCTGTGGTAGTAGCTCTTGTTCCGGCTGTGGCAGTGCCTCTTGTTCCGGCTGTGGCAGTGCCTCTTGTTCCGGCTGTGGCAGGGGCTCTGGTTCCGGCATAGGAAGTGGCTCTGGTTCTGGTTCTGATTCTTGTCCTGCCTCATCATCAATCCTGGGTGGTGGCAACAGGAATGTGGAGTCAGACTCTTCATCATCTGACAAGTCGTCGACATCGGAAATGTCACCGAAATTCAATCGATCACAGAACTCTTGTAGAACATCTGAAATAAAAAAAAAACATAAGAATCCAATTTTATACAATAGAAAATAAGTTAAACATTATCATTTTAGTGGTAGTTTTGTTTGCAGTCCTAAAACATAGATTGGTAACTTTACAAAAAATACAATGTTGTGATTTACTAAATCCTTGGTCCCACTGTGTCACATTTGACACATCAAATTTCAAACGCAAATAGGACCAAAAAAGAACTGAAACCATGAGATATCATTTACACCATGTCATTGTATAGTAATTGAACAGTACTCCCAATTTTTTACAACTCATAATATCTACATTTACATATTTTAATTCTTTACTTACTTTGAAAGGTTAGTGGTAGTCTGCCGAATGGGTTGTCAGCCATCTTGAATGTTGATAAACTGTAGCAGAAAACCATTCAGCTGAGCAACTGACAAGCACTAGTTAGTGCTGGCACCTAGTGGGAGGCTAGAGAACTACTACCAACTCAATCCTATTCACAGTACGGGAGGAAAAGGCAAAATTATATGTGTGTCATATTTGACACATTGGGACTGAGGAGGGATACCAAATTTCATCAAAATTGTATCATTTTTGCTCGAGTTATCGCGCTAATGGACACACACACACACACACACACACATATATATATATATATATATATACATGTATATATATATATATGGTATATATACATTTATAATATTAGTAAGATATATATATATATAAATAAATATATATAATTAATACACTAGGCATATTTTTGTCATAATTGTTTGGAGTGGAGGTGCTACCGATCACCATGTCCAAGGTATCGTTAGAAAGGTCTTAGCATGTAGTTTTGCCATCAAACAAAAAAACTTTGGAATTCCATCAGGGCTCTGCCCCAGTGGCCTTCAAAGTCCCCATGTTATTCTTAGGGAGAAAATGTTTGTTTTTAATTTGAACAGATGAATACTTTGAAATTGACACTGATTTAAAACAGCTGGTTATACTCAAATTGGAGACATTTTCTATAAGAAAATCAAAACGTAACAAAAAAAAGGATGTGTGTATAGGCTACGGATGAGTGTTCTGGGGTAAGGATGCTAAGATAAGAAGGAAGATAAGGGGAGGATAAGATTGAAAAGGAAACTTTTGAGTGCGCAATGAAGAGTTTTGTTGGAAGTAGGGAAATCATAAAACACAGTAAGAAGTCTTAGATAAAAGAGGTCTAGAGATGAGAAAATAAAACATGATGAGTGGCAAGGAAACAATTGAGACGTTTAGAAAAGTAGCAAGGGAAAAAGGAAAAACAGTAATACATACAGGCTTTAAAATTTGAAAATAGAAACAAACAAATACTAAGAAAGAAAATGAATGAAAACTTGCCCATGAGAGGAAAGGTTAGAGCGAATCTCAATGATCCCTATCGCTCAGGTCGGTATGGGTAAGGGAGTCGTGCTTTAGGCTTTTGGACACATAATGTGCCTGGACGAGGATTGAAAGTGGCTGAAGCCTAAAAAGAAAAAGATTTTCATGGGGAATCGGCCTGGCAAATAAGTCCCAGGCAAATAAGTCCCGAATAAGCCAGGGGTGGTGGTGGGAACGAGGAGTTTGCTACAAACATTTACTGACTTGGTTGAAATGAAATATTTACTATTTGAATTTGGGTTTGCGTGAATATTACAATGAAAAAAGCAAGAGAGCCTGGATAATTTGATATACTAAAAAGAAAACTTAATTAACACTTTGCTGCATTTCTTAGTAATCAGTAATCATTTAAAGAGCCGATTTGCAAACTATGGAAACAGGAAAATCATAAAAGGCCAACAAGAAGAAGAAATAGAAATAATGTTTTTTTTTTATTTATAATCGTTATTATGGACAACCTAATGCGGCTATGAGTAAGGCTATTTGTAGAAAACACTATTTACAAGAAATGTTGATTATATCGCTCAGTTGTGTACATTTTGAGTATTTCCATAATCTTTGAGTCGAATCTTTTAGTCATCAGAAATTATGACTGTTATTCGTTTTTAAATAACGCCTGTTGTAATACTTAGCAATTGCTCGAATTCGAGCAACAGGTACACTAGTATACATAAATATACGTATGTAAATATATATATATATATATGTGTATGTAAATCTATATATATATATATGAATTTGAACGGATGGTGTTTTTGCCCTCTAGGGACCTCAAAACAAAAATTATATCGTTCCCGGGTCCAGGTCTTACCATGAGTACAACGGTAATAGCTTATTCCCTATATGGGAAATTCGCTAAAACGGCTAGGATTTAACATAGCATGGTCCTAACATATTTATGGTCCTTAAAGTTTTGAACTTTTTTTCATTTTTTTATTTTAATTTTTAATGGGGATTTTCCCATAAAACCCCATAAAATAATGGAAAACCAGATTTTCTCGATAATGGCCCAAACGATTTTGGTAAAAGTTTTGTATGTTATGGTCCATACAATTTTGAACAGAATGGTACAAACCCCATTTTCGTAAAAAAATATGGTTCTAAAGTTATGGTAGCTTATGTGATTTCCCCATAAAATAAAACATAAAATAACAATAAATAATCAGATTTTTTTAAAAAAGCTAATTTTTATCAAAATAAATATGTTATCGTCCTTATAATTCTAAAAAAAATAGTACAACACCCCAATGTACCAATTCTGGTTAAAAAGATATTGTAATTTTTGTGATTTTTAACTAGAAAATATCATATTTACTCTCACCGCTTTTCCCATTATAAAGGTTGTTGACAAACTTATGAGAGAAAGTATGTGTCAGAATGCTGATACCGTTTATTCATATTAAAAACCACGTTTGAAATAGAATATTACAGATCCGTGTCCCATACATTCTAAATAAGTTTGTTTCAGAGAGACATTAAGTTAGCCGATGCTATGTAGGTGTTTAGGTCGTTCTTCTGGTTAAAATTAAAAAGTCCTTAATGGCATTTTCGTATGTACGGAGGTACATATTTTATCGTGTTTTTGTGTTCTGAAAACCTCACAAGAATCAGTGGACCTGTACTATGATGCCTTTCCATGATGACTACATGCAGCAGCTACTTTCCTGTGGGCAAGAATTCCCCATGTTTATGAATTAACTGCACTCATTTCACACAACATTGATCTTTTTGCGTATCACATTTAGAAGCATCCACGAATAATTTTGAAATGGATCTATCGATATACGTTGGCGGTAAAGCTCCATTTTTCAACGAAAGTTTGTTTCCTCCTAACCAGAAAGTTTGTGTACGTGTAAAACGTTGAAACTTTCCTTTCACCATTTTTCTTTGTAAAATACGCAAAACTTTACAATCGAACTTTTTTACTTTTCTCATCCCAAGGTTATGTAAATTGTATATTGATTAATATTAATAAAAAGTATACGAAGCTTAAAAATTTGAGGACTCATAATTAAGTTACAATTTTTAATTTCATTACTTGAGTACTAACAGAAGGCCAAGCAAGAGACTTATAACACAAATGGGATAATTTACATCCCCATTACTTAACACGGATTGCTCGTGTATTAAAAATAGCCCAATTATTATCCCCTCTAGTAAACCATTAAATCATTCGCTGAGCTGACGATTGCTGGTACAGTGAGATGGATGGCTCATGATTGTCTTGCCGATTGATGTTCAATTAATTAGTGGTTGACGTTTGATTCGGAATTGGTTTGGCATCGAGTAGCCCAGTAGTTGGTCCTACTAGTTTGTAGTTTAGTGTTAGAATGGTATTGTTAAATATTTTTTTAATTTAAAATTTATTCATTTTGTGCATACAAAACTTGTGA